GCCTGCTCGACGTTTTCATCTTGTCAACAAATCTCCCACTCATCAACCTAATCTTGCCTGCGTTTGCACCTAATGGTTTATCGGGATCTATATATATTGATAATACTGCTGTATTGCCAGGCCTTGGCCGGACACTCTGACAGCACGCGTGCAAGGGACTCGTCCTGTAGAGGGAACATTTGCACTGATTGATTGGAAGAAAGCTTGTTTTGCTGTCTCTGTGCAGCCTCAATTCAGACCATTAAGAGCAGTCAACTAATAATAATTACTTTTAACCGGGTTGAGTCCAAGCGCCTCAGCCAGAAGCCCGAGGACAGACAATACGGCCAGGAAGTGACTACAACCCTCTATCCATCGATAACGCCGGCATATCTCATTACCGTGGCGACCTGCGGTACACTGCCACTCGGTCCTGATCATATAAAACCCATTTCAGTGTGCTGTCCTCGATGGAGCGCCGGCGTAGTGGATTATTCATTATTCAAATTTTAAGCATTGGAAATCCCAATATGTTACCGAGGCCAGATGAGACGAGATGAAATAGCTTAGCCTTTTGTCCAGAGAGCATTGACTAATCGTCTCGCTCCCCAGAATCAATTTCCCAGCCGTAAGCATCAGACACTCCTGATTGTACTGTACTGTTGAGGACCCCCTCCACCGCCATCACCTAATACCCCTCCCGGCTGCCCAGAATAACTTATTGATCGGCGATAATGTTACGGGAGGTGCGGGTGGCCGGGGCGGAAGACGGACCGGCCTCAGTCATTCTCCGCAGGGCTAAATTTGGGTCCTTTGTCATCAGATCTAGCGCATGCTGACACCATCACCAGCTGTCACCAGCACAGTGTTCTGGTTTTGAAGAAAAATTTCAAGAATTTTCTTGAAAAAAAAATAAAAATAAAAAGTTAATAAAAGCTCAGTAGAGATGCAACAATCTCCAGTTTTGTGAAGTTTTTAACCTGCTGAGGTAACAGAGATTCTCATTTAAGAGCTGTAATATAAGAACACATGAGAAGGGCATTCATCACATTTTTTCTGGCCTTCCTGTCATCTTTTAATAATTTATGCTAGAAGTAGATGTGGTGTCTTATTTTTAAGCAATGACAAAGTGATCATCTTAAGTTTGAACTTGTCACAAATTCAAAATGGTGCACAGAAAAGGTTCTGATCTAAATAGGATAGAGACCAGCTAAGCAACTTTTCCATATAATGTGCAGAGTTCAGCCTTCCTTGTATTTGACGATAATCTCTTGCTTGCATTCAGAATGAACTGAAGCGATGTCTGGACAGGTCGTAGAAAATCTCGTCTTCTCTTTTTTCATACATCTTAAACATTGTGGTTTCTGCGTTAATTTATGACGTATCTTATACTGTAAGTAGTTTACTGTGGGTCTTCTTCCTTCAGTAAGAGCCACTGATCTGAAAAGAAAAATCGAAGTTTTAATTTTTCTGAGTGGCTAGTAACCAGGAAGACCAAACTGAAACGAATCAGTTTGCTATCACCAAGTAAAAACAACGGTGGAATCAATCAATTTCAGCTCTGGGTCATTTCATCTGGTTGAATATTGTATAATGTCAGCGGATGCAGCCAAGAATCAAAAACAAAATTGCTTCGGTGGCTGGTTACAAGATATTTTGGATTTTGCTTCAGGTTTGCCCCCCTGAATATTAGGCTGATAACCTCTCTGTCTCTCTCTCTGATTCTGTGCTGAGCCTGAAAAGTGTCTGTGATCAATACCTACAGGCCCTCCGCCAGAAGGCTGGTGTGTGTGTGTGTGTGTGTGTGTGCGTGTGTGTGTGTGTGTGTGTGTCTATATGTGTGCTGTGTCAGCATCCACTCAGGACTTCATCAAACACTCCCCACACCTTTTCCTCACATGCAGACATGCGTTTACAGACACCCACATCGGTCAATGCCCCACTCAGACGCTCGTTTTCCCCTTTCCACCTTCTTGCTCGGCCACCCGAACGCCGCGCGCGCACACACAGGCGCACTTGCATACACAAATTCGTCCCACCGCACACGTGTCCCAACGAGGCCGTTAAATACCATTCAAATGTCAGCCCGACCGTATTGATTGGAATAATAACTCTGAAAGGAGGAAGAGATGGCTTGTTGATGCTAAGCAGGTGCATGATCGCCGTAACATCGTTCACTGTCACAAAGTTGCCATGTAAGGGTTTCCGGATCCCCTAGCAGAATGTGGATCAGGGTTTACGTTCGACCACCGAGGCCTTTTATTTCTGTCATTAATCATCGTTCGGCGACAGGCACACCCGGATTCCTGCTGAGAGCGGGGTCATTCTGAGAGCCCTCTGATCACGGCCGCTGGGTGTGCATGTCAAAACCGGAGGGTATGTTCACCACTGGGTGATTTTTGTTTCCTGTCATGTATGATTGCAAGAAAAAAAAAAGATAGATGTTAGCACATTCTAGCAGTGCAGCTTGCAGAGTTTGAATGCTATCCATGTTCTTATTGAATTTTTTTTTTCCACACAAGTGCAAAACTGAGAAGCTAGACTCTTAGCGTTTCCCATTCGTATATCTTATTATGCACTACATCAGCAAATTCTGCTGAATTCATGTAAGAGCTTTAGATACTGATTCCATGAAGAGCTTATTAAACAGTCAGCAGTACATTGTAGAAGATTAAAGTGTAATGAGATGTAAGATGTAATTGCTTTTGTGTGTTTTAACTTGTACTTTGCTTTTCAGGAATTTTAGCAGTGCATAGCTTATTTCTGTTAGTTTGACAAAGCATAGCTTTTCAGACACCATCCATTCATCCATACATTTTCTGTAACCAGTTAATCCTGACCAGGATCACCAGAAGGTCACGTTCAAGAGGAAAATACATTCATTTATCAACCATACACAGACTAACGCCTAGCAGCCATTTAAAGGATCTCCAGTTTACCAAACATTCATGCTCAGGGATTCCTGAAAGGGTGTGAAAAACCTTGGAGAACATTCAAACTTTGCACACAAAGACGTCAATCAAGATTCAAACTGGTAGTCGCCTAGCTGGGAGGAAACAGTGCAAATCACATATCCACTGTACAGCAAGGAAGCAGTGGTTACCACATAATAAACAGATACTTTGTGGTAACTGGTCTGATTTGACCAGATGGGAGAGTTAATGACTGGAATAAACCAAGAGTAATCGTTTGTTGCTCTTTAGTGCAATTAAACGTGTTCAGAAGTTAGTAAAACCAAATTGTAAAGGAAAAAAGGGTTGTTTTTGGTAGTTTTTCATTTATTTTTCCGAATGTTTCCATCATGTAACAAACGTACTTTACTAGAAACATCAGGTTGTACTCAATCCTAGTCCTCCATCTGATCAGAGTATTTTTAAATGATTGTTATTGGAGTCTCTTGATAAAGCCAGCCATCCTGAAGAGCTGAAACTTTGACTAATACATTTCACAATGTTCAAACCTAAGGATTAGTTTATGGGGTGGTTGACAAACATCATGTAAGATCTTTTTTTCCTGATGTACATTATGTGTCGAATGATCAACAAGTCATATAAAAACAGAAAGCAAAAAATATCAGCCAAGCATTTCAATAAACTAAAACTTAACGGTACAAATACATCAGTTTGTGGTAGACAGTAGGTATATGTGTTAAATTATATGAATGAAAAAGTTTTTACCAGTGATGTTTTGCTAATTTATGCGACACACTGATACCTACTTTCTTAACCAAGTAATGTTGCAGCATTTTGAGGATGTACTGTGGAAACTACGGTCGGGACAAAGTACCCATCACTGTCAGAAAAAAACACTGCAGTGATTTTAACTAAATATCAGACTAGAGACCTCGGTTTCTAAATGACACTGATCAGTTTTTTAAGACTCAAAAAAATCCCTAGGATTTTCATCAAATGTCTCTTTCACTGAAGAGTTTCTGCTTGTCTGGGTAAATGTTTTTACAGTGCTATTGTTGTATCTTAGATAAAGAAGCAAAGCCTTTTTATGCTTTTACAACTGAGCGTTTTACAAGATGCTGTCTGCAAAAACATCCAAGCACCTCAAACAACAAATCTTTTATTGAACTATTTAAAGAGTGTGCTAAAAGAGTCTGAAAAGACCCTAAATCTAGCAGCAAGAAACTGCTAAGTCGGCAACACTGTAACCTTACAAGCTTTCTTTCTTCACTTAATCAAGTATTAATATGGGGTGTGTGTGTGCGCGCGTGTGTCTTTGTGTGTGAAGGACAGAGACAGAGGGCTGAACAAGTCTCAACCAAACAAGATTTAGATATTTTCTACAACATAAAGTAAAAATAGGTCACACAAAAAAATTCCCATTCACCCTTACAAAGTAATAACAAAACACAGATCTTTGATCAATTGTCATATATCTGAAGAGTTTTTTAGGAGTAAACCAACAACACATCCATGCAAGCTGTCCATCTCAAAGGTAATTTTAAGATCGACCCTCCTGTGGTCCTAGCAGGCCGCTTCAGGAGGAGTGTGGCAATGTCATGATAGGACAGCGGGGAAGTGGGGAGAGAGGGGTGTCCTGTCAAACCAGCACTTTCCGAAATCACCCAAAAAGAATCTTGCAAAAGCGCACACGGAGTCAGTGCGACATTGCCGGACCGCGCACTGAGTAAAAAACCGCGTAGGCTCTAAATTGCCCCGTCTTAACACCATGGAAGGGTTAAGGACATCTTATTGACAACCAGGCTGCTGTCATTGATCTTCACACAGATCATCAGTTCATCTAGTTGCAGCAAATAGAAAAACTTTTTTACACAAAAGAAATCACTTTACCCAGTCATTTGTTTCATGTCTTATTATGACCAAACTGCAAAAGTACGAAACGGCAAAATGACCGGCGACATCCCCACCTTCTTCCTCGCTCAATGTATTTCTTTTTAAATATCTAAAACATTTTTGCCGGTTTTTGATACATAATACGTCTGTGCTTGATGAAACGTGTAAATCTGTGACGGTAAAGGTGCAACAAGTAAGAAAACATTTACTCCTCACCTGGCAGGAACCTCAATGTTGGAGATTGCGTAGAAGTACTTGAGCAGGTTGTCTCTCTGGACGTAGGTGCCTCCGAGCGCAGGCCGTAGCAGCCTCATCCTCAGGTTGGTGAAGGTAAAGAAGTCCCTCAGTCCCTTCATACTTTCCATGCGGGTGTACAGGTTGTCCATGTTCTGCAGACGGGGGCCTGCAAACAGAGCAAAGCGCTCCCTCACCTCGAACTTCACGTTCTTATCGTTCTTGGAGCCGACCCAGCGCGAGTACTGCTCAGTGCAAATGACCCGTGTCAGGTTTGTGGGTGAGAGGTCACGCACTCGTTTGGGCTGCATGTTGAAGGCGTCTTGGCAGTCGTCAGCGTAGAACTGGAAGGGTTGCCAGGAGTGCCCGTGGTCCATGGACTTATCCAGGACCATGATTGTGGGACGGCCATATTCAAACGTGATCTGGATGTCGTCTGTGAGCTCCAGACTCTTGTTCCAAGACATGGTGATGTTGGCGAGTAGGGGCTCTGGATGTCGACCCCAGGTCACCGTCTGCCAGTAGGTGATGAGGCCATTGCGTTCACGGTCCTGCATCAGCTGAGGAGGGTGAGCCAAGTCTGGGTTGGAGGCATCACACTCATCGCTGCACAAATATGGGTTCTCCTACAAAAGAGATGCAGACAAATCAGAAAGGTAAGTAAATAACCAGAACCTGCTGACTCTAATTTGATTAAGCTATTGACAAGAAGTGCAGTTTAGGATGTTTTCAGGAAGCAATGACTCATTATGCACTCAGGTGGTCACCTATATGACAAAAAAAAAAAAAACTAAAATAAGTTTCAGTTGAAGTACAAAATGCTTTGGTATGTTTTAGACACAACTCTCTCCTGCAAGCCCATGTTACCATGTAGCTAGATTTATGAACTTGCTCCAACAGTGTCCAAAAATAGAATATAAACTAACCCATTTTTTCCACCAAAACAAAAACAAAAATCTTAGTAAGGCAGACCCTGCCAAGACACTTGGGAGGTCTGAAAAGTAAACTTGCAAAACAACACAACACAAAGTGTGAAGGTCAGGGGGATCGTGCATCATCACCGTATATGCATGGGCAGCAGAGTGCTGCTGCACTTTAACTCTAGAGGATTGATCCTCCACTTCCACCGATGCCAAGACTTTGAAACTGCTGCCCTGCCACACAAGCAAAAGTCAACAGGATTATTCACAGAGCCCCGCAAGCCTCTTTCCACCCGCTGCAAGAAATGTCTTTTACTCTGATTGGAGATCTTCTTGTGCGACCTGGAAAACAATTTCATCACCCACTTACTCATAATTGCATAGCCCAAAAAATGCATGGAGTCTGTTGCAATGCTAGGACGCTATTACGAAATGGTAATCTAACCACTGCGGTCGCAAATATAATCACCCAATGAATTATTTTCGAAAACAGCTCTGTCTTATTATTGAAGTGTGACACTCGCGTAACAGGGGTTTGTGACTGAAAGACTCACAACGGCTCAGATTAGCTCCAGCGTTCACATAGCTGACTGTAATCTGCCAGTTTTCTGACAACCCCTTCAAAACAGGAGTCAAAATATTTGCACAAAGAATTCCCAGAGATCTGCGCTCATCTCTCTTGATGCTTAATTTGCTAAATTCAGCTCGGGTTCTGTTTGGTTTGTATTACATACAGACGGCTCGTTGTATGCCCCCAGGAAGCACTAATTACTTTGATAAGGGTTATTATTTTCTCCCCTATTTATTAAAGTCGTGCTGTCTGTCGAATGAGTCAGTTCGCATAGGAACTGAGTCATTCATATGAAATGAATGAGTATTGATATTAACATTTCTGAACTTTAAATTCTCTTAACTTAGAGCTTCTTACATCTAAATTTAAATGAATAAGTTTAGGTGTTTCTATGTTTCCACATGTTTTGTTTAGGTCCAGAATATTTCTTTTTTCTTTTACATTGATCCAGGTTTCTACACTTGTCCTCTTCTTTCATCACAGGAGATATAAATGGCCATTCTTAATTTTATTACATTGATCAATAACAGTAGTTTGCAAAGAAAATTTCCTTTCCCTCCTCTTTCTCCACTTTTTGTTGTCTAAAAATTATGATTGCATCTAATGTATAAAAACGCCACAGCCCACCTTGAAAAAGCCGTTTTTATAAAGTAAGGATAACTAGGCTGGGGGAAAAGATGTCCAAATAAATATTTAAATAAACAATTAAATACACAGACTTAGCCACAGCATATCAAAACAAAAACATAAAAAAAGTGACAGGCTGGAGAAAGTAACAAAATTATCCTGCAAATATTCAAATAAATATCAGCTTTGAGACAAGTGAAGACACAATGGCAGCTAGACAGCTGTGCAGTTAAGACTGAACTATTTTGTTTTTGATTTAGAGTTAAAAGAATCGTAGATTTATTATGACTCCCTAATTATGGAGTGATCTCTTAAGCTTGAGGAGGAAGTTCAGAAGGCTGTTCATGGCAGCTGCCAAGGAAAAGTGGGGCTTCTTGCTTCCCTTCATGCACCGAGACACAGGCTTTTACATTGTTTTTATAGAAATCACGTAAACTGATGGGGGCAGCCAGTTGACTGAATACGAACACAAAGAGTGCAATGTTTTGTAGCACATTCTGCAATTTTAACAAAACAAATACTGGTGTTTTCAAGCCTTGGTTTTTGTTAATCACGATGATATTCAATGTGCGGCAAATGGAAACTAAAAAAATAGATAATGTATGCCCTTGTTGCGGACATACCTTCAACACAATTTATGGGTTTTTTTTTTCCCGGTATGTTGCCTGATGTTTGAAGGAAGTGCAATTTTATGAAACACGTGGAAATGTATTGTCTTGCAGCATAAGTAGTTCCATCCATTTTCTTTACACCCTTGTCCCTTAGTGGGGTCGGGAGGGTTACTGGTGCCTATCTCCAGCTATCGTTCCGGGCGAGAGGCAGGGTTCACCCTGGACAGGTCGCCAGTCTGTTGCAGGGCAACACAGAGACAAACAACCATGCATACACACACTCACACCTAGGGGCAATTTGGAGAGGCCAATTAGCCTGAAATGTTTTTGGACTGTGGGAGGAAAGCAGAGTACCTGGAGAAAACCCACCATGCACAGGGAGAACATGCAAACTCCATGCAGAAAGAAAGACCAGGGCCAGGAAGTGAACCCAGAACCTTCTTGCTGCAAGGCAACAGCTCTACCAACTGCGCCACCTAGCATAAGTAGTTATGTTGCACATTTAAGACAACAAAGTGGAAAAAACCAGTCAAATTTTTTTGGACTGTGTGAAAATATGCAACCTCAGCGTAGAAAAAAGCACCAACCACCACAAGTCCATGCTGTTGTTAAGTTAGCTTATTTTTTTTTAATTATTTTTATCATATGTGAGTTACAACTAGATAAATATTGGATCACAAACTGATGCACTACTAATATAAAAGTGAAAAAAAAGTAAATTTTAGTTTGATGAAGCTGCAATTGATTGCCTACATTTTCACCCATAATTTGTTTTTTGACTATCAACCTCAAACCCCCGGCGGCCTTTAAAAGGTGGATGCAACGTTTCCTTTCACATCATCGACGGTAAATGGCGGCAGAAATCAGCAGGGTGCTTTAACCTGCTCAAACCAAAGCGCACGCTAACGAGCCTTCCGGATATCTGTTTGCAGTGCAGGTTTTGCATGGAAATGTGAGTACTGCTACATGCTGAGTAAACAGATGGAGAAATGTCGTGGGAGTGGCCAGAAAAGTGGAAACTTTTGGGGTGATTTTTTTTTTTTTTTTGCAACTATTGTGAATTTCAACTTTTTTATTGCCTCCTTTCAGTTCCGCGCGGAGGCTGAGCGGTCAATTTTCAAAAGATCTAGGTGGAGTATCACATGAAACAGCAGTTTCTTCTTTATGATGTAAGCTGTAACGTGAAAGCAATACGGCGTCATATTGATGTACCGTGCGAGCGTAGATCATGTGTCACCGCTTCTTTGCAGACGTTCACTTTTCCACATCCGGAGCCGGTGAGGGGCAGCGTCTGTTGGTGCTGCTCTGGCGGGAAAGTGAGCAGTCACTCAAAGCCACTCTTACGGAGTAATACCGCAAAACAAAATGGGGGGGGGGGGGGGTGGAGTTGGAATCCTGTGAGGCTAACGTTATAAATCATCTGATTTGTGGTGACAACGCAGAGCGGGAAAACTCTGAACAAAAGCAAACGCTGAGGTGGTGCTGAGGAAAGCTGGGCTCATAATGCATGTGAAGACACACAGCTGTGAAGCGACACTATCTACACGCCGCAAACTGCAGATGATACATCTCGCTTCACACCGAAGCCACGTCGCAGCATTGTTTACTACCCGATAACCCAATTACCCCCATTGCAGCGACTCCGATAGAGTTCACTGTCAGCACAAACACACTTAGGATGGTAATCTACCACGCACGTAAACAACTGCAAACAGACAAGGTAATTAGAGTCAGAAGAGGAGGGCTGCTGCGGATGTTGGGAGCGCGACTAGCTGCCCCGTCGGAGGTCCAGCTGCGCCTGTTAGCGCGCCTCCCGACCCCGCTCCAGACAAATGTTTACACGCTTGGAAGCGGAGCTTAGAACGCTGTTGTTCTGGAGGTGACCCTTGACCCCACAAATCCTATTGAAATTGGCCGCCCTGCCATCCTGTCCCAGATACACAGCGAACTCCTTCCAGGTTAGCGCTCGCGCTCTCACAGGGGAATCCGCCGCACGGGAGCAAAGCCGCCCCAGATAGCACAGAATGATTGAAACAACATTGAATCAATGTCAGCCAGAAACATTGAATCAACGTTGAACGCTG